GTGTGTCTGACCCAAGCCATGGTATTTCAAATAACCTCATATGCATGTGAAAGCTGGACAGTGAATAAGGAAGACCACTGAAGAATTGATGCCTTTGAGTTTTGGAAGAGAATATTGAAAGTGCCACGGGCAAAGAACCAATAGATCCATTTTGGAAGAAGTGCAGCCATAGTGCTCCTTAGAGGCCATGATAGCCAAACTTCATCTCTCATACTTCGGACATGTTGTCAGGAGGGACCAGTTGCTGCAGAAGGATATCATGTTTGGTAAGGTGGAGGGTCAGAGAAAAAGAGCAAGACCCCCAACGAGATGGATTGGCCAAGTGGCAGCATCGATGGACTCAAGTGTGGCACCAGTACTGAGGTTGGCCCACGATCAGGCAGTGTTTCATTCTGCTCTGAATAAAGTCTCTGTGGGTCGGTACTGACTCGATAGCACCTAACAACATAGGTGCTTATGTTTTTCAATAGGAGTAATGGATGAAGGCACCATCCTCTCCCACTGCACTATTAGCTGCCCAGTGACATAAGTAACATGACTCCTGGGACTTTGAGCCAGGTTCTTCATCCATGAGAGGTAGCTCCTCCCTTTTATATGACACCAGCATGGGGATATGTGAAATGGTTCAACAGGTCATGGGAGATGGTCTGGAGTCAAAGGAACCATTAAGAAATAGATAGAAATATGTAACCTATGAGGCCTGAAGGATAAGCAGATGTAAGGAAAGCAAATAATACAGCTACAAATAGCATTTACTGTTGTTGTTAAGTACCATAGAGTCGGTTAGACTCATAGTGACCCTGCACGAGGTTTCTAAGTCTGTAAATCTTTATGGGAGCAGAATGCCTTATCTTTCTCTCATGGAAATGCTGGTAGTTTCTAATTGCTGATCTTGAGTTTGGCAGCCTGACTCATGACCACTACGCTACCAGAGCTCCTTAGCATTTACTAAGGTGGCCTATACTCTTGAGAAAGAGTGTCGTGCCATGGAAAGTGAAAGGTGTTCAAATGACGAGAGCATACAAGTCACAATGGAAAGTGGTCAGAGATGAAACTTGAAAGGTATGGTCATAAATGGCAGTATTGTGAGCCATGTTAGGGTTTAAACTTTATCTTTCCGTCATGGAAAGCTTTTAAGCAGTGAAGCAATATCTAGTCACTAAATCAATAAGTATTTATTGATTGCTTCCTAGGGGTCAGAGATAATTCAAAGTGATGGAGATAAAGCAGAGAATAAAATGGAAAATCACTGACTTTATGATGCTTATACTCCAGTGGGAGATTGATGTCAAGTGGCAGAAAGAAGAATAAAATCTCCTTAAAGTTTCCGTTGGAAGGCAGCCAAGTTACGTCATTACGCTGGTTATTTAGTAGACTGAGGAACTCTGAGATATGAGTGAGGAGGGGGCTAGTGTATAGAGTATAACAAGGTCTAGCAATGTAAACAATATTGTATATTAAGTACCCAATAAAAAGTGTGGTGGTGGCCTTAGAAATATCAGTAGTAATATCATAAAATGTAATTTTGATTAAAAGGGGAAAAACTGAATTGACACCACCCCTATCACCCATGTTTATTTTCTGCTTAGTCAGTTGAGCTGCGTGGGGTTTCTGCCAAAATAGGGAAGTACTGTGAACTACAACAAGGAGGGCAGGAGGATTGTCCATCAGGCTTGAGATGGCTGCATTGTGGAGAGTAACTTCTAAGTGGGTGAGAGGCGATTAAAACAAAAATTCCATTCTGAAGTCTCTTGGTTTAGAGCAGACACATGAATTTTACCCTGAACAACCTCCTTTGTCTCTTTTGGTCCATTGCTGTAAAAATTAAGTTGGTTTATGTCTACCCTGTGGTTTACTCTTACTTTTAAGACCTGCTCTTCTGGATTAGGAGTATTTCCCTATCACTGGATAAATCCATAAATTTATTAAGAGATAATCTGGCAACGTGCACTTGATTCTTGCAGATAGAATTCCTAAAATGAGCCCATCTCACCTGCAATCTACCCATGTTATTATTCTGCAGTTCTCCAAATTAGAGGGCAGGAGTGGAGTTATTTGGATGGTAGTTACATTTGGGGAATACAATCTCAGGAAAATAAACTTGATACTTTACCTCACAAACTTTCTCAAGGGTTGGCATCCAAGAGGTGGCAAGGTGGCAATTCTGAAGAACAACCCATGTTCCTTCCTTGATAGCTTTTTCTAACATCTTCATTGCTATGGGCCCTTGGCCTTGACCAAGAGATAGAGAGCTAAGTTTTGATCCTCCATATCCCTGTGTAGAAAAATAGTAAAGATGTTATTAAAAATCATATTTGTAGAAAAGTCATTATTAGTATTACCTGAAATGACTTTAAATAAATTAAGATATAATCATATAGCAGCCCTCACAGATCTAACCCTGATGTTCCTGTTGTTGTTGCTAAATGCCGTAGAGTCGGTTCCAACCCATAGCGACCCTGGATAGGGTTTCCAAGGAGCAGCCGGTGAGCTTGAACTGCTGACCTTTCGGTTCAAACCGACTTTGCAGTCCAGCACATTAACCCACAGCACCATACCAGGACTCCAACCCTGATACACATCCCTAAAAACCTCTTACTTACCTAAGAATCCTATAAACACTTAGATAAAAAGCAAGTCAATTCATGTAGAAAACAATCATAACCGCAAATAGAAAACTCTAAACGAGGGATAGAAAAAAAGATTACAAATAATTTATACATGAGAAAGTAGCAAAAAGACTGCCTGTCATATAGCAACTCCTAAAATCTAAGCCAAAAAGGAAAGTATGAATAGACGCACAAACTGGTCTTGGTCAAATACAAATTGATGAAGAATATTTTACCCTATTAGCTGTGTGACCTCTGAGGAGCTACTTAACCTCTCTATGCATTACAGTCCTGATCTCTAAAATGGAGATAACACTGTTGACCTCACAAGAATATTAAAAATTAAAAGAGAAAATGAGTATAGCAAGGTCTAGCAATGTTAACAATACTGTATATTAAGTGTGCAATAAAAACTGTGGTGGGGACCTTAGAAACATCAATAGTAATATTGCAAAATGTTATTTTGATTAAAAGAGGGAATCAATTGACTTGACACCACCCCAATCACCCATGTTAGTTTCTTGTTCTAGATTGCACAAGAATCATTCAAGACAATTTATAGTTAATTCATTTGAATAATCTTAAGCCCCCAAATTTAAATATTAGAATATATTTTAACCTGATCTCTTGACTGTAATAGATACTTTTCCTGAGAAGTCAAGGAAGGTGCCTCTCTAGAGAAGAGACAGAAAAAGAGAAGGTTCTCCTTGGGATCACTGTCCAGACTGGAATTTATGAAGTCAGCCCAAGGTCACACACTGGTGCAAATAATGTCATGCAACCCATTCAGCCCCTCCAAAAAGTCAAAGAAAAGCAAATGTCCCTCCCCAATTTAAATTTCTGATTTTATAATTTGGATAAGAAGGCTGCTATGTAAGTATCATTTTCTTAGAAGTCTGTTAACATCTGGACCCCAAGCCTTTCAAGGGTTTAGTGTTAAATTTTTATCTTTTCATCAACCCTGATTGTTGTTGTTAAGTGTCAAGTTGGCTCGGATCCATAGTAATCCTACATAGGGGTTCCGAGGAGTGGCTGGTGGGTTTGAACAGCCAACCTTTCTGTTAGCAATCCAGTGCTTATATGAAATCGGATAACAACATCATCTATTTAAAGGTACCTGGTCATCAGCAAATTTTAGGAGAGCAGCCATGGGATCTGCACCAGGAGAGAGCACAAAGATCAATGGTGCACAGCAGTTACTATCTCCAAACGCCTTGGATAAATCAAAGGGAGGTGGCTCAATGAATATGCGTCCCAATTTGTTGATTATAAATTCTTGTATCATTGGAATAACCTAGAAAAGGATGACAATATATTTGGAAGAATTCGAGTTAATAATGAAATATATTAAACTTTTCTTCAAAAGTTCAGATACAGTGGGGTTTTGAAACAAGACTTTAGCTACATTAGCTTGTTGTTTTAGGTGCTGTTGAGTTAGTATCATAGTGATCTTATGGACAACAAAAGGAAACACTGCCCAGTCCTGCACCCTCACAATCATTGTTTCGCTTTAGCCCACTGTGCTGCCACTATGCCAATGCATCTTGTTAGCTGCCTTCCTCTGTTTTGCTGACCCTCCTCTTTTCCAAGCATGATGTCCTTCTCCAGGGACTGGCCCCTCCTGGTAATATGTCTGAAGTATGAGAGATGAAGTCTGGCCATTCTGGCATCTAAGGAGCATTCTGGCTGTACTTCTTCCAACACGGATTTTGTTTGTTTTTTGACAGTCCATGGTACTTTTAATATTCTGCTCCAACACAATAACTCAAATGTAGCAATTCTTCTACAATTTTCTTTCTTCATTATCCAACTTTTACATGCATATGTGGCTATTGAAAATACCATGGCTTGGGTGCACCTTAGTCCTCAAACTGACGTCTTTGCACTTGAACACTTTAAAAAAAGGTCTTGTGCAGCAGACTTGCATAATGCAATATGTTGTTTGATTTCTTGACAGCTGCTTCCATGAGTGTTGATGGTTGATCTGAGTAAAATGAAGTCTTTGACAACTTAGTTTAAGTATTTATTAACATTGGTAGAGAACCAAAGGTGGTACTTTTATATATAACACCTTTTAGATAGAAAATATTCTAAGTTATTTACATGACAGCTTTGTAGCTGGATATTGACACCAGAATTAAAAAGTGATTTTCTTTGTTTTGATGAGTATTCAAGATATAGTGGGTGAAGAAGAAACTTTAACTCTTTAGTTTTAAAACACTGATTGTGTTCCTCAAGTCAACAACTCAAGAATAGAGATGTTAGTGTAATTTATATAAAGTTCCCCACATCATCAAGAAGGAACTTACCCAGCTGGAGGAAAGGAATAAAATAGAAAGAAAAAAGCTCTGTGAAAAAGACGTAAGCCATACACCCAATAACAGATTAAATTCTATTGCATTGCTTTTCTGATCACATTCCTGAGCATTTTCTGGAAGTTTGTATAAGAATGAACAGAACTCTGTGGGTTGGGGCTAATTGGTATGGTCAGGCTTTGATGTGGGGGTGGAATAATTTCATTGCTCAGTACAACTGATGTACAGCCATGAGCATGCTGTTCCTTGTTTCTGATAAAAGATCTATGCCTGGCATCAGTGGATGATGACTCCAGATTTTCGTGACCCAGGTGAAACCCAAAATTGGGTTAAACAAACCAGTATCCCTGTATCTTCCTAACAAATCATGTTAAAATGCTCCCTCCTCAAGCATTCTTTGTGGCTGCTTGTTCCTTCATCATCCTTCTGGTTGTCTCATTAAGATGTTCAATAACACTTTGAAATGTGTTCAACATCAATTTGCTTTCTAAGCACAGAGTACTTGGATATGAGAACAGAAAAGCATAATAGCAAAAGGAAGCATGCATAGACGTAAGAAGGAAAAGCAGAAGAGAAAATGAGATGAGACATCGGTGCATTCTTCTTGTTTTGTATTAATTCTCCTGTTTCTTGTTCTTAGTTTTACTTGTGATATTCACTTTGAGACTTTCATAGGTGAATCCAGAGAAACTGATGAATCCTTCTTCAGAAAAATAAAATAGCTAAGTTGTATGCAGACTAAATGAACAAAATTGTTTAAATTTTCGTTATTCTTAATGAGGGAGTCAAAATATTTGTTTGATTTCAGTTAGTCATGGACATGGGAGCTATTTGATGTTGTCTCCTGTTTGACTTTCTAAGAATAATTACAGATGCACCTTGGGAAAGTAAGCTGAAAAGAGCTCCCATATTCAACTATTATAACATTTGGCCCCTCAACATGTCCCTAGGATTTCCTTGAACTGCTATCTACACTGAATTTTCTTCTTTGCTTACAAAACAATCAAGCTGAATTTTCAATCCCATGCTAAAGTAGTGAAATGCTAAATTAGCTGCTCCAAAACGACTATTTTAAACTAACATGCATATATGTCTGTCCATTTCATATACATTTGCTTTGATAGATATCTACATTCACTTTGATAAAAACAACTAGAAAAGCACATGAGAGCATCATTATGAATACACTGTCTCCTAAGGGTGAACTGCCAAATGAACTTTCTCCTCCTCTGAAATACAACAATGAGTCAAAACATATTGCTACTAAATTCTAGTTCATACATGCACAGGTTTATTCCAAACAAAACTTGTTTAAACATGTCTCTGTGATCAGTGGATGGGTGCAGACAAGTTTTCTCAGTAATACAATAGGACACTTGTCTTAGTTTCATTAGAGTGCCTTCAAGAAAAGACCAATTAAAACAGTGGCTTCAGAAGGGAGCTGCTGAGCCAGTTAAAGTTAAGACAGAGAGGACAGTTCAGGTTCGGGTGATTGTTTATGGACTCCTAAGGAGCCCTGGTAGCGTAGTGGTTACGACTCGGGCTGTGAACCGCAAGGTCAGCAGTTCGAAACTACCAGCTGCTCCGCGGGAGAAAGATGAGGCTTTCTACTCCCGTAAAGATTTACACCCTCGGAAACCCTGTACAGGGTCGCTATGAGTCGGTTCCGACTCCACGGCACATAACAACAACAACAACAAGGGACAATATTGTTTTTTTCTTAAAGTTTTTATTGTGATTTGAGTGGAAGTTTACAGGGCAGAGCCTCAATTTTACATTCAACAAATCATACACTACACTTTGTTTTGTTGCAATGATTATAATCCCCTCCATATTCCATCAGTTAACAGTATTTCAGTATTTCTCTCTCTATTCATTTTAGATCCTTTTTTAAAAAAAAAAACACTCAGGCATATATAATAATGTACACCACCAAAGGGCACATTCTGCAAGTCTGCCTCTGGGCTGCCAGCTCTCAGTCCCTCTCTTCCCATGAGTCTAGAGTCCTCAGCTGCTCCCTCTCTCCATGTCCCCATCTCAGCCTCCATCTCTGGTGTTGCTGCTTCTCTGGATAGGGTCCCACAGTCTGCTTGTTCTCTTCTCCCTTGATGGTCCTAGGGTTCTCTGTTTCTGGACTGTACTATTAACTACTCCCCCATTTTTGTTACAAAACTTCTACCTTTACAATTGTGATAGCCACAAATAGTCATAATAATTACTCACTATTGAATCATAAGAATCTTATCCCCATCTCTTTTTACAAGACCAATATAGACAAGATGAAAACTATTCAGTGAGGACTTATCTTTCCCCACACACTCTTCAACTAAACTTGTCAGCCAGTCACTCTGTGTCTTTATCACCCCCTCATTTTAGGTAGCCAATGTCTAAGTTGCAGGTCCCTATCTACCCTGTACACAGAGAGGATAGGATTGATACTTGATATGAAGACTCCTTTGTTCTCAGATGGTATATTGAGCTACTACATCCATGAGTATAGGTCAAGTTCATTCAAATTGTAGCATTTTAACCTCATTTCCTTTACCAAAAAATTGTGTGTTTTTTTAATCTTTCGTTGAACAGGAAAAAGTAAAAAGCATTCACTACCCTCTCTGCCCAGGAGGCAAGCTAAGATGTTAATCAGGTCACCAAATGGGACCAATCCCCCTGGCTTTTCCCCTGCTCTCTAATAGGTATGCAGCCTGGCCCCTCCCCGGACTCTGACCCTATACAGGTCCCTGTCGCCCTCCATTCAGGGCTCAGAGTCTGGAGAAATTAGCTCCTCTGAGCCAGCTGGCTTAATAAAATCTGAAACTCTGCTTCACCTCTCCGAGTGGCCTCGGTTTCTTTGACCACTAATCTAAAACTGCTGTTAACACTGCTAGTCAAGTTCTGATTATCAAGCCATCGAAGTTAGGTCAAATGGGTACTATCTGCAAGTTTGGATGTCCTCTCACTTCGTATCAGCTGGATGCTTCACTCTCAGCTCTAGCCCTCTGTAGCTAGGTCCTTGTCCATGGGCTCAGATATCCCCAGGTCTCACCACACTTTGGACCAACCAGCTCTTCCTCTTCTCTCTCTCATCTCCAGGTCAATGGGTATCTATGGAATGCTGTTGAACTCAGCCCACTTCGCCATTGCTGCCTTTCCCCCTCTTCCACTCATTAGTAGACCACTGTGTTTGCCAGCAAGCTTACATGCCTGCTCATGTGTTCCCTTTGAGTTTCAGTCTTGGAGGGGGGTGTGTCTTGAAGGGACTTGATTGCTTGCCTTTCTGGCTTCCTAGTGAACAACTTGCTTCTTCTTGTAGTAGCCAATCATACTGCCATTTTTGTTTGGGGTTTTTCCTGCTGACCTTTTTTTGAAGATGTATCTTCTGTTGGCTCTAGTTGTTCCAGGCCTAAGGGTTAATCTTGATGCATTTTCTCAAAGAACACAGGATGATCACAAACATTTATTAGAAGTTCTACCAGCCAACAATCCTGACTTTGCCCTTGCAGGGTTTTTTCTTTTGTTCCCAAACTCACAGAACATTTGTTTGATTTCAGGAACACAATTTGAGTCCCTCAAGAATGTGAAAACTACCATTTTGATGTGATATAAATCAGAGAGCAGAATTCTTCAGGGAAGTGTTAGAGAGATAGAAACACCACCTTCAGAAGTGTCTCTAGACCATCTATTTTCAAATAGCCTGGGATATGTTGATAAACCATAGATTTATATTTTGATATGGAGCTCTGGTAGCGTAGTGGTTACGAATCGGGCTGTGAACCACAAGGTCAGCAGTTCGAAACTACCAGCGGTTCCGCGGGAGAAAGATGAGGCGTTCTGCTCCCGTAAAGATTTACAGCCTCGGAAACCCTGAGCAGGGTCGCTATGAGTCGGAACCGACTCCATGGCACTTAACAACAACAACAATTCTTGTTTAGTAAAGCTTTCTATGATTTTGTAGCAATACTTTCAGACTCATGTGCTGTTCAGTGCTGTCGAGTTGGTTCTGATTCATAGCAACCTTGTATAGTGTTTCTGTGGAGCCTTGTGGTTAACAGTCCAGTGCTAATCTTAAAGAACCATCCTAGTACTCCATATTTAATACACAGAAATTTAATTCAAGCAATAAAGTAAATGCTGCTGTCCATTGCTGAATCTGAATTTCTTGCAAATTCAGAAATCTTTCACAGAACACATTGTGAGCTATGCCTTCATGCTTAATAAGACTTGAAAGCATACCAAGTTTTTAAGGGAACAAGGGATATTATTATTCCAGGAAGATGAGTAATGGAGAAGAACACACAGAATTTGTGAAGGCTCCCAGAATTCCTCTGCCTGGATACCTGCTCATATCCAAGCATGGAATTGTATGTACACACAGCATTGCCAATTGGGCTGTTATTTCACCAATGTGCAATTCCTCTGAGCAATTTACAGGTGATAAGTATCTGAAAAACTAGGTCTTCTCTGGAAAGTTACAAGCATTTCCAAACTTCAATTGTGAACAAATTTGCACAGAGTTTGTAAAGGAACTTCTCTGGCATGAATCATCTAGAAAGGAATGTCAATCCTGGTAAGCATATGTTTTTGTGAAGGTGTTAGGGTGGAGGGTTGAGAGTTAGTGATGTTTATCTTAGATTTGTAAATCCCTTCTCAATAATTTCTTAAATTAGATTTAAATTCTATTTTTAAATCACTTTTCAATATTCCTCTAGGTTCATTCAAATTTGGGAAAGGTAAGGACCAGAAACAGCACATATATAAGCTTCATGATGGCAGGAAATAGCATGATAGCTTGTGTGTGTCTGTGTGCGATAAATATCTATTGAACAAATGAATGGACAAGTAACTCTAATGCCCCCTTTTTGTGAGGGTTTCTAGATAAGCCATTTCATGTTTCAGACATTTTGAGTGAGCAAAGATGTCAAGCTCATTGCAGGAAACAAAATATCCTAGCTGCCTGTACCATACCTAGTCTTGCCTTTCTCCTTATTAATCTTTTCTCATGCTTACCTTTTCCCTACCAGATCAAAACCAAGAACAAACTAAATAACAAAGCTTTTCCCCATAGCCTTCTTCCTCTCAGGGATGACTTCTTCACAGATTTAGTTTTATAAAGACAATACAAGCCCATGGATTTATAGTGAATGATTTTACTTTTAGTAACTTTGAACCACAAATGGCCTCTGTGTGGGTGACTCAAGCTCATGTGGACCACTAGGTACATGCACACAAGGCTGATGTGATGAAGGGATCCTGACGAAAGAATCAAGTTAGTGATGCTCACCCTAATGAGTGACTACAAATTTCTGAGTTTCACGTTTCAATAATAAAAGCTGAATGAAACTTGCTTGTCCCCCCATCAGGGTTGAACTTTTTAACTCCTGGGGTAAAGCTGTTCTAGCTATTCAGTTTGTAAGAAAGTAGAATTGTGTTTGTTATTGCAAACCAGAGTGCAGAGTGCAGCCAGAGTGCTCCTTGGAGGCCAAGATGGCTAAATTTTGTCTCTCATACTTTGGACATATTGTCAGGAGGGAACAGT